TCCTCGAAGTGATGACCGAATCGTCTCTTTTGTCTCTTGTCCGTGTTGTCATTGTGATTTGGCGGAACGCGTTCACGCTCGGACTCTCCTTTTCAGCGAGACGCGTACACGCTGCTCTCGGAAGATCGCGTACATGTTTCACGTACCGGGATTTTGATGGACAATCCGAGTCAGCCTCGACTGCTTGTACCGCGCTCCCCATCGCTCCGGAGCCGATACTGTTGTTGTTCTGCGAAACTACCCGGATGGGACGGGATGACTTGTCGCTCGAATGGATCGTACGAGAGCGCGCGCTCCGACGGGGAATTCCATCGACTTGCTCCCTCTTAAGCAAGGATTTCGAGATGCGCCTGATCAATCGTTCGGAGGAGAACCTCTGGAGAGATCAGAGGAGTACGCATTACCGAATTGCGCCGGTTCCTGACAATCTTCGGCATCAGGAGTGGGATCCTCCTGCTGCTGACAACGTTCTCTTTAATCAGCTGAAGCAGCACTAGGCCGAAAGACGAACGAGTTGTCAAGAGCTGAGGGAGAAGGTCCCCGTCCCCGGGGATGGAGGCTAGTTCCCTCAGCGAACCTAAGGGCCGGAATCCGAGAGGAAATTATTCAGGCGATCAGATTCAAGACAGATCATCGACGTTTTCTCAAGGCCGATGTGCGACATACCGAAATCATAACCGCGGGTGCCAGCCTTATCGAAGGGCAAGATGATGAAGCCACGGGGAAACTTCCGGAACGTTCGGACTAGGCGACATCTCCGGTCATGCGGAGGCACGAGCGGATGCGCTTAGAGGACGAAACGGAACACGGTCGAGCCCGGGTGAAACTCACTCAGGGGAAATAAAAGCGGTTCGCCGGGTCTCTGTTGAAGGCTTAAATGAACTCGCCAAAATACCAATTTCGGAGAGACTAAGGGAGAACTTTGTTTTCTTTTGATCGAGAACACAATAGAGGCACGGATATATTGCCTCTCCTCTTGCGCTACGTGTCCTACATCACTGCTTCAGGACTTGGTCGACGAGGTCCGGTTAGAGACAATGGGGAGTTGTCGGGGCAGTATTCGCGGAATTCGACTTTTCGAAGCATTCAGCGGAGTCTCTAGAGTAGTCAGTCGATTTTCCAAGGCCTTTAGTCTCCCCTACCCCCTGAAAGTGAGCGATTCTGATTCATCAACAGAAGTTCCTGGTGATGATCAAGTATTCGTGAACGTCGCTAGCCGCCACCTGACGTATACAGGCTCCCGCGCCGGATGTTGTCGATCTAGAAGATTTTTGTAGCGGATGAAATGAGAGGGAGAGAGAGATACGGTGCCGTACGGCAAGAGGAGATGAGGGCGCTGTCAAACTCGATATACTATATCGTGTACTCCGCTCGAGGACTCATCCGATTCGCGTTGGAAAAATGTACCCTTCAGCGAGCGAGCTCGTCTCTCGTGGTGGATTATAGATCAACGGAACCGGAAGTTTTTTGGAATTTCATCTCATGAGACCATGTTAGTCGATGTCACCGATGAGAATACTGAGCTTCGATGGAGGCGTATGAGTTTCAGCGCCGTTTCTCGGGAAAGAAACACTCAGGGAACATTTTATCGAATCGATAACTTCCGTAGAACTTGCACACTCACAATGTCGATCGGAAGGAGACGATATACCAACGCGCCGATCCCCGGCGAGGAAGTCTCCTTATCTCAACACTCCTGGGAAGCGCTGCAGCAAATAACTCGGGTTGAGGGAACAACGGCCGAGTAGAACAAGATCGCATTGGAGAAGGATGATTCTACACACATTACGGTGACCTTCACTTTTCACCCCATCAAACCGGAGGCCTCTTTTGGCAAAGTATCCACTCGGATTCGACGGCACTGCTCGTCGTAGGACTCAGGAAACCAAAACGCACGACGGAGGAACTGGTACGACGGAGTGGAGGGCGACGTCGACGCATCGCTGGAAAATTCCAAACCGAAGCGTTTCGCAGTTGCGAGACGGATCCTCCCCAGATAGGGTTAGGAGACGAGGACGAGCAAGAGCCGAGAAGCGTGACAAAGGAACGGACCGGAGTGTCGCTGAGAAGAGGGGGCTACGGACGAGATGACGGAGATCTCACCGGCCTCGCCCGCATGCGATGCTTCTCCCCGACACGATCCTTCATTCGCATGGGGAAGAAGTTTCGTATACCTCGTTGATCGTGACTTCATTCCAGCAAGACGATTGAGGAGATCTTTCGCCGCAGAGACTGACCCTTAGGATCCGATCGTTCTCATGGGTCCCGACCAAGAACGAATCATTCCATCCACCTGCCTGTCTCGCAGGAGCCGCCGTAGGCGGAGCTCACCCAAAGTCCGAGTCTGTAATGCTTTCCTGACAACTTCCGCGTCTCGTATGCTCCGTCATCGCGGAACGTTCTCGAAAGCTCCTGCAGGCACAATAAAATCAGGCACTATTCATCATACGATCGATTGGAATCGGTCGGGTCGAGAACTCCACCCGATTTGTGTCTCTGGTCTTGTATCACATGGCAAACGACATCGAACGGACTGAATAATCTGTCATCGAGGCTGCATTACCGCTCAATTTACCTCCATTGTCGGCTCTGACGTGAAGCGAGAGCTTTCGTGCCTACGCCGTCCCGAGAAGGAAGGGCTGCTCACAATTCGTCCCTCTGATCGGAACTATCGGAACTCCGCACCGTTCATCTCCTTCCAGGGAGAGATGGGCGGGAGCTCCGAGACCCCGAGGAAGTTCGTTTCGATCACGTGTCTCGCACGGGTTCGTTGATTGATTCGGAGTTTTTTGTAATCCATAGAGATGTGCCTCTACTCGACCGAGGTGAAAAGCATGCGGAGGTTTCCATTGACCTGTAGCGTCGGTCAGCCTGAATGCGAGGCCACCGTGGGAGTCTGTCGGCTCGAGACGGGAACCTATTCTCTGCTCCTGTCCTCGTCCCATGGAGGCTGAAGCCGTACAGCTCCCAATCGGTACTTGCTCTAATCTGAGGCAGGAGCTAGCATCCGTCCGACTGGCACGAACAAGTCTGGAGGAGCAACGGCTCATCCGACCAATGGGCTTCTTTGCTCTCCAAAGTTCGGCTCTGGGAAACGGATGTCCGAAGAGGCAACAATTTGTACAAAGGGTGCCAACGGTGCTGCGGCGGCGTCCGGCGCTTCAGGCGGCGATGGGAGCCCGTTTAAGCTCGCCTAATTGTATGGACAACGCTTCTGCTGACGTCAAGCGGCTATGCTCACTTCCCGCACAAATTTTGCACCTCCCAAATAATCCTGCCTAAGCGGCCGACTTGCGAGAGACGATTCCGGGCCTAGCTGGATGAGTATGAATCGTTCGAGCTGTCTGCAGGTTCGGTGAAGCTACATTCCCTCTCTGGAGGAGGACGTCTGATCTGTTTGTGTCTCGACCGACGACTTCTGGCTGAGGAGCTTCCCAAGATCCAGACGATTTTCATCAGGGAGCTCCGGAGAGGAAAATGTATCAGCATGTCGCGATTCCCGTTCTCGCTACGTACAGAATGACACAAGCCTGATACCATCTCGGACCTCTTGCTCGGAACCGTGGTCGTGGAATGCAGTTGATGAGGTACTTGATGTTCGAAGATGGTGCGAAAAAGAATAACTGCGGAGAACAGGATCGCAGACTCCTGAGTTTCGCGAAGTGCGGGACACTTGGCACCCGTCCCGGTGTAAGTAGAGCTCGACTCGAATCCATTCTCATGATGTGAATGCATGTATGACAGGCCCATTCATTGGGTATGCACATAAAAGCGATGAGCATGACCGGACCGGCTGACAAATCAGCGGAGCAACACTTTAGCCTGCAAACAGAGCGGGTCCTCCGTCAACAGATACAAACCATCGAGATGTTGTTCCGGCCAGGTCCGATGGTGGGCTCGATGTTTTCGACGATAAAGAGACACGAGTGGCTGATTCCGCGCCTCGGTCGATTTCGAAAGCAAGTGTACCGTACCGCCCATGAGCGTTCTCCGCGTTCGAAAGTTGGGAACCCAAAGGGATCGGGCCTCCTAATCTAAGATGAATCAGGAGGCACGAAGTCCTTATCCGGAATCCAGAGGGAATATGGATCAAAGGATATCTGATATAGTTCTCGGTTCCGGTTCGGGACGGATCTGAATATCATGACGTCATCACGCTCATTTCTTCTCCCGAAAATCTGTATCGGAATCGGTACTGTCGCGGTGTGTAAATATGAAGGTGAGCTATCGGAAACTTCTCAGGAGTCATTTCCGCCTCTCGATGATCACAGTGGAAATGAGATATGTACGCAGCTCGTCGGGAGAATTCGCCCCGGGAATCTTCGCAGTGACGTCCCCAGGCGACGGCGCATAAATCCGAGACGTACAGGTCCTGGTCGACGGATTTTCGCAATTTTCGAAAGGTTCTTCGCAAGCCTCATCCACTGATTTCTACTCGACACGAGCCAGAAAGGAAATGAACTGGACCCCAGGCCGCATTCGAAGCTCTCGGCATCCTACTGGACCGCATCGTATGATTTCTTCGGCTCAGCGGCAGGAAGGGGGCAGCCAAGCAGCCGCCCGGGTGAACCGCGGGACCATGAATGAGAAAGCCAACAGGGTAACAATGGAGTTCCCGACTGTTACTGACTTCCTAACAAACCCTTGCAAATAAAATATTTTTTAGATCCACGACTGGGAGTGAGTTCTCGGATGGAAATATCGAATATTGAAAACGCGTCCCATCATAGACCGTCACGGCAATCGTCCCGCCGAGGATCCGGTCCCCTGAGCGCTAATTGTGAATTGTACGCAGGTGTAATCTGCATAAGGAGAGCGGAAGAAAAATCCGATGATCCTCTCAATGAGAATACGAGCTCTTCTCGTTTGTGAGCTTCCCTCACAAATTACATATAACATAAGTTTATTTGATTATCAACAAGGGACCGATCGTCGAGCGATCGTGCGACAGAAGAGAAATGTACAGAGTTCGAAGATGCCCGACTCGGAGTATACAGAATTCAGTTCCCAGGGAGGGCACTGCTAAGGAACGCTAAGTGACCCTTGGGGCACTTATTTGCATAATGACCTTTCTCGCCGCACTTGAAGCATGTAACTTCATCGAGGGGCCGATAGTTCCGAGTTCCCTGTCCTCTGAGTCCTTTATCGGCCTGGCCACCTGCCCCGCCACTCGACGCGGCAAGATCGGCTTGCCGCATCTGATTCGCGAACTGTTGCACCTGTTGGTTCTGAGCTACAACTTCATCGCGCTCGCGTTGGTATTTCTCTTTGACTTCTGGCGGCATCTTTGGACAATGCCAGAGCTTGTGTCCAGACTCGTTGCAGTAATGGCAGGTGAACACGAGTTTCTTCGTCTGCAGCTGACTGATGTCGGGTAGATCGAACTTGGGATGAACGAATTTGCATTTCGGACCGTCGGGACAGAATCCGCAAAGGTAAGAAATGCATACAACCCTCCGCGTGTGCCGATGGCGACACGTTGGTCCGTGCCGGCAGAACCCGCGGTCGTACCACGGGCAGTCTTTGATTTTCGAATCGGGATCGATGTGGAGGAAGGGACATTCTTTGTTCGAGCACGCGTTGAACCTCGAGTAGAAGTAACACTCTGGCATTTTGGTCATATCGTACTCGTGCAGGAATTCGCATTGATCTCCTTTCTTGCAGAGACCACGGAGCCAATGTTTACAAACCACTGTTCTGTCTCCTTTGATATGCCGGAACGGACACGATGCATCCATGGTACATTTGCCTCGCATGTAGAAAGTGCAAGCGAGTGCCACAGATCTGTCCATCCCGGGGAAAGGCAGCGGAGCAGCTCCGAGTTGCTGATCCAGAGCCAATTCGATTTCGAACACGACATCCTTGCAGTTGGCCACCAGCTCCTCCATCGCTGTCACTGTCCGTGCGGGCTGTTCCCTCTTCGTACACGTCTATGAAGTTCAAATTATCTGGGAGTTGGATCCTCTGAGAAGCCTCTACAACATGCTCTTTCGACACAGGTCATGTGCTGCACAGAGCGTTCTCGAAATTGGTTTTGACTGCAATCCGCCGACCGAGAGTGGGACCGGCGGCGGCGCCGCTGTTTGGGGCTGATCGCTCGATGCGGCTGCCGAGGTGGAGAGCGGAGATCGCGGCGCGCGCATTTCAAACTCCCGCTCCCTCACTGAGGAGATATCGTCCCGGTATTTAGAGAGAGGGGGAGGGGCAAAGGTGGAAATTCTGGGAGGTAGTAACCTCGTTAAGTATTGTCGGCGAGTTGCGCAGACATTCGGTCTCGTGGAGAATCTCCGATCCCTCACTCGAAAACGAATCGAGCCCGGTTCCACCAAGAGCCACCCACGAGCAATTCTCGATGAGAAGAGGTTTCGTATTTCTCACGAACACGGCCTCCCCACGCCATATATTGGTCTCGTGAGTCGATGTCGACAATTTCTCTGTATCAGACTACCATCAGATACGCGAAGCATATTGGACAATGATACATGGATGCCTCTCCCTTTAACAATTCCCGCCGAAGAGCATATCCGTTTTCACCCTTCTTCGATGTTTCCGTGTTTATGTGTTCGAGTCAGAATTCGTGAGGGAGTGGAGGTGGGGGGTTCGATGTGTAGGGCTGGGAAGTTGGCGCGATCGCGCCAAAAGCCGCGAATTTTCACGGTATTTTCAGGCGATCCTCCATAGGAAGTCAATGGGGGGTGAAAATCGCCGTAAATCGGGAAAAGTGCCGTTAATTATTCCCAGCCTTATCGATGTGTCATACATATCGGGAACTCGGCTGCAATTAACGAATTTGAGAGGATTTCGATCAGGTGACTTCGATGAGAAGTCTAGAGGATTCCTTGCGATGAATTTCTGAAATGGTATGGCTCTGAAAGAGGAGGAGCCCCGTTCCACCCTGCTGGAATCGGGCTCGAAGTCTTCTCAGCTCACGTTGAGTCGGAGCAGGACTTTCATTCAGCTCCCAGATTGCCTGCTCCGGGCATCGTTCGCAAACTAATGCCTCGCTTCAAGGTCCCCGCCTCCGATGGGCTCGAGAGAACCTCTCCGAATCATAGCTCGACGCGAGTGCGCCTCGCTACGGCCGACTCGGATCTGTTCCCCTGTCAGTCGGACCGACTCGCACTAGCAGCGATCGATCAACGGAGCTCCACGATGATGATCCGAAATCCGAAGTCTTAATCAACACGCCCCGTTCCCACGATGCTAGAGAGAGGGAATCCAGAGAAGGTAAATATTTTCCCGGGTCGGAAGCAGAGCATCCTTATTGATGTGGCTCATACCCTCAACACGCCTTCGAATATTGAACACGCTGGGGAGCTACTGCAACGATGCCCGCTAAGGAAAAACGAACGCACGTCTCGCTCGTTATACTGCGAGTCATCCTAATCGAAGGAAGAGTAATGAAGCTCCGATAAGAAGCTCCATGAATGGAGACCCGATCACTAAGTAATGGAGATATCCAGGAGGGATGCAGTCATTTTCTAGATGCGGCGAGCACTAGTTACTGATGAAGGTCTCTTACGACGGACTCCTTGAGGTGATATTTTATGAAGCTGCATCTCAAGAATGCGGGTGCGAATGAGGCGAGGTCCGAGATCATTTTTGGCGAAATCCCGCAAGCTTGAAACTACGACAAATTGATCGTTCTCCTCGCAGCCAGGAGGTTCAGGCACTAGACAAGGCCGAAATAGGCAGGCGAGAAGGCGCTGAAGAAGCTGTCCATGGGGAATTCACCCGGGAACTTGGAGCCCATCAGTTACCTATCGACGCTGGCCTGATGGAGCATTTTACAAAATCGAGGAGAAAATTCATCGTCTGGGAGTCTTGGCGGACTATCGGATTCTATCGGAAGCAAAATATGTTCCAGAAGCATGGGTTCGCCGACCCCATTCCATCGCCGATTCCGTTTGTCGATCCCGAACTCCGCAAGACCCGGAATCTGCGGTCTCACTAGCAACATTTACTGCAGCTAGAAAAACAACATTGACAGCATATTCGGTCAATAAACGTCGGGAAAGGCAGCCATATGCAAGTATAGCGGAGTGTCTGGACCTCTGAGCTCTACCTACCTACTTCTCGTGAACGTAGGTGTCCGAGAACAATTCGCCGGAAATGGATTTTCAGTGTTGTTGGAGCGAGCCTGCGGTTCCCATCAGGAGACATTCGGTCGACTGCTTCGACGCTCAGCTACTCGATCCTCTCCGATGGTATCATTCGATTTGATGGACGACTCAAATCGGGTTGAAGTGCAAGCAACCGGGCGGACAGCGGGTCACGACTTTTCCCAGCTCCGTTGGAAACTCAGCGGCGAATAATCTCGCCCACATGACTGAGTGAGAGAATCATACGGTATTACGGGCGAGATGAGATGCATATGTCCAAGATAAGATAAACACGCACAATAACCGTTCCAATTCGCTTGGCTTAGATCTCCTCGTCCCCCAATCTGCATGAAATAATTCCGCTCCGGCGATATCGCCCGAGGGACCAGCATGACTCCGAAACCGGTCCCGGAGTCTGATAGATCCGAGCCAATCTTCGGCGTTCTTCTCGTTTCCGGCTACGTTCTGAGTGCTCCGAATGTGTACGGGAGTATCATCCATAGAAGTATTATTGATCCTAGCGTCCCCTGCCTCCCTAACACTTATATAGCGCATATATCCATGAGAATCGATGCTATCCGAGCACTGCTCTAGCACAGTCCTCCCAGGCTCTCGAAGGAGGGTGATGTGAATTGCGCTCCATGCTGGCTAGAGACAAAGCCTGTCAGCGGGAGTTTGCCTCGCTAAGACCTTCCACACGTCGCTCGATGCTTCTTTTTAATCATTGCACCGTCCTCCCTTACTTTATCTCCCAGAGCGAACGGACAATGTGTCCTCAGTTCTGGTAGGCTGGGGTCGATTGCTTGCTCTCTCTGTCGTTCGTTCGCTCTCTCGCTCGCTCGCTTGCTAGGTCACCGTTATGTCGCAGGCTTTGTTGGTTTTCCTATCACGTCGCTGCGATAGCTTCTTGCTACGCGGAAAAATCAACACATGAGGTCTGAGGACGAGAAAAGCGTCGCTGTTGCACGCAGTGAAATGCCGTCACAGCCCTCACCGAGAGAATGCATGAATCCGATCGCTTCAAAACTCAGGACAACGCAGGCAGTTTCGGAGGAACGCGGTACTGGATTGCGGAAAAATTCCTCGCATACGCCAGGAGGATGGCTACCGCTGGCAACCAGCCAGCGAGCCAAGATCAACGGCGGTCGGTGTGTGTGGAATCCTAGCTGAGAATTTCCAAGATCGAGGAAACTCGACTCCGAACTGATCTCTCCCGGGAAAATCTGGCATCTCCCCCTGGGAAGGGGACGAATCAGCTCCCAGAACGACCTAGCGGCTAGACTCTCGTCAGGAGGATGGACAAAACGGATGAGAGGGAAAAGTAAATAAGTATTGGGAAGGTCGAAAGGAGCAAGGACGCTGACGAATCGCGTGACGGTCGGTCAGCACCCTGAGCCTTATTCAGATCTTCATGGCAAAGCTTCGAGGAGACGTCTGCTCCAGCACGGAAGGGAAAATCTGTGGCAAAAGTCTTAAAAACGGCCATGGGATGAAGTGGGATTTATATTACAGATTAGCGCCTTCTGCGAAGCCGACATAAAATGAAGGCGGCTCGGCCTGTACAGCGGGAATACGTATCTTGCTGAGGACGCTCAGACGCCCCGATCAGCGAAGAAGAGTCTGTGTGGCCTCGTAAATCACAAATCTCTGTAATGTTGAGCACCGCGGTCCCATCCATATACGTAGGGTGGCGACTGCAGAGCTCGATTTCGGGGAAGACCCATCTCATCCCCCTATTCCCCGAGGGATTCTGCAATCCTCGCACACGTTCCTCGATCTTGTTCCTCAGTGGATTACCATGTTCTGAGGATGTCCAAATATACCGAATAATCAACCTGTGTCTTCGGTCCAGAAGGGGACAAAGAGACAAATGTTCGAGTCTCGACGTCCTCCCTCCCGGCTGCGAAAAGACGTGAGTTTGACGTATGATTCGGATTGATTGCTTCGACGTCGTCGTCAAACCGAACAGATGCTTTCTGTCCCACGCAAGGGTAGAGCCTGAGTGGTCTTCTGTCGGGAGAGCCCATCCCGACAAAAGCCTCAGGGACCTGTGCTCGGTGTAGGTGTACAGCGGAATGTGCGATTGCCAAGCGACAGAAAAAGTCCGCTCAAGAGCTTCGGGTCGAGTCAAAGCGAATCAATCCCCGCAGGTGCCCGGGGGCTCACTCGATGCTTTCTGTACTCGTCCACTCACCCGATGATTCATTCAATTAGATGTCACGTATCCCGATTGCGCGATGGAAATTGATCGCCCTCGTGCCCCGTCGCTTTAAAAACGGCGAATTCGAACTTTTATCGGTGGAGTTCGATACGTTAGCCGGTATCGACTCTCCTCGGCGAATGGTTAAGCGATAAAATATCATACAAGTTCGTTTATCACGATGAATTGGCCGCCTGGATACGGGAACCCATCGCAGACCATCAGACGCGGACGCGACTGGCGGTCGCTCCGTTCGCATATGTTCGGGGTCTAAGCAAGCCCGGATTGGCGAATCGACGAATCACTCTCCGGCTTGATTGATCCGAGGCTCGGGGGCTGCTTTTGTATTTATCAATCGAAATATTGGCTCTAGCGTCCAAATTGGGGGCCCGAGACCGGAACTCGCCGATTTCGCGATGGAGCATCGCGAGAGCATCGGGAAGAAGCGATTCCAAGAGCAGAGAAGGATGGAGGACTCGTACATGCAGAATTCCTTCCAAAATTCGCAAGATGATGTGAAAGAAACTTTCTCGCCAGGAGTCGGGGATAAATGCATGACGATACTTCGGAATCTATTCTGCTCTGAATCTTCTCCCGCGCAGTACAATAGGCCGGACAAAGCGTCTGCTGGCTCAGGGTTGTAAGCCAGTAGAAACTGAGAGTTTGTATACGCGGCGGAGATCTCGTTTTATCGCTTGCCTGCTCCCATGCCATAGCCTCAAGCCTGAAGCTTGGAAACTTCAACTTGTCGCCGTGGGAGAAGTCAACA